CAGCTCATTTTCCTACTGCCAAGACAGTCTTTTTAAGGGGACCATTGYCTTCTAGGAGAAGAAAATAAATAAACAGATAAATATTGAAAAGGAACAGTAAATGGTTAAGAATACATGGCTGCCCATTTAAGAAGAAATACAAGAAAACTGAGTGTGCTTTGGCAGGTTTGAAAACATCCCCTTCCCCTGCTCTTCCATATCATCAAAATTTTCCAGATTTTGRTAACAGATTTTCCACTGTAATTCCCAACTTCCAATCCTTGGGTGAAAAAATGGAAAAGGTCAGAGGAAAGAAACATCTCCTGGGTTTTTTTTCACTGAGTGAGGATGGAACTGAAGATTTTGTTTCCTCTATACCCTCTTGAAAAAATAGAAATCACATCACTGGTATTTACCAAYTTTTGTTTTCGGGAATATTTTTGCAAACATAACAATTTAACCCTGTTTTATTCATGTTATTCTTAGAAAAACAAAAACATTTCATCAAATATCTCCTTTTCTTTAAACCTGTGACAATTACTTTGAATTAACTTTTAAGAAGGAAGAAGGTACCGAATGYAGCTGCTGGAAATTTATTTCCTCTTACTATTTATTTACAGGGATCTCTCCTAATGAAATGTCAATGTGATTTTCTAGTACTACTTTTACTCCTACAGTTTATAATTCAGTGGCTTTTGAAACCCAGCATGTCTTAACTTTCAAAAGCTTCCAAAGAACTCAAGTATCCTTCTTTGCTCAGCCGTGTGATGTTCTCCTGCAGACCTCAGGGGAGCTTTTGTCTTGTTACTTCATCAAAGATGAAATTCTTCCATCCCATCTGGCTTCTGCAAGAAACAGTCTCTGGAAGCTATAGATAGCCCTAGGTCCCTTACWTCTTATTTTAAAGCACATGCTTTTTAAAATTTATTTTTAGTGTCCATGAAGGAGTGATATTTTTATTTATACAGATTTTTGAACTCAGAGGTTACTCCTTGCTATCTCTTCTGCAGTTTCTCCTCCTTACTGACAGATTAAAACACATTTTCCAAGGAACTTTATTCCCACACCATGAGCAACTCACGAAACACCAATGGGTTAAGAGTAACTGGGTTTTCATCAACTAAAAGAAAAATATGCTTAAGAACTGATCAGGTCCAAAAGAGCTGGAGTAATTCAACAACGACTGAGGCTGAACCCATGGAACTATTAATGGTCCTGGAGGGAGAAAAGAAGAAATGGCAGAAAAGGAGAGAGAAAAAAAGGAGGATAAAGGAAAACAGGAGAGGAAAAAGGAGGAGAGAAAAAGGAAGAGRAAAAAWGGAGGGAAAAARGGATAAATAATTTTTAAACAACTAYGTTGGAATTYAAAGAGCATTCTTCAGCATTGGCAGTATTTTGAAGCAGTAAGAGGTTTAAGAGGATGTGTTTACAAACAAAAACAGTAATGCTGCTTCTGTCTGAGCTGAGATGGGAACCAATGAAGGATCAGATTCCACACAGAACAYGAGCTTGCTGCAAAACAGGCATGTCCTTGCTTGTAACTTATTGAGGAGATACAACGTTATCCTTTAGGGTTTTTTCAGGTTTTGGAGAGGGATCCTAAATCCAGAATCACATCCTGGAATCTAAAGATCCATCATCTTGACAAACCTCAACATACCTTCCCAAAAGTCTGCTGGATTCTGCTGGAAAGATTAAGATTTGCCATAGGAAAAAGGAAAAATAAAATTAACCCCACAAACCAAGACACATGCTGAGAAGTGAAGGAGATTTTCTGCTTGGGCTTTTGACAAGGATATTTCCTATGTCTGCTGCAATCCCAACATACTGAACTACTTCTGAGCTCTTAAAGAGATCTGCTTTAAGTTCAGTTAAAGTTCATCTGGCAGMTTCAGCAGCTGCTCCTCTGGCAAATGTTCTTGGTCTTTGTACCCAAAGCAGAAAAAAAAACAAGGTTGTTCTGATGACACATCTACCTAATTAAGAAAATAACTAAAACAAAAAGGATGCGGAGAGGATACTACAAAAATATCATTAAATCTATATTTTGCAGGGAATTCCTTTTTTCTTTAAGACTTAAAAAACTGAGTATCTTATTAGCTACTTGTTGGAAGACTGTGGTCTTAAATCAGTTAACAAAGAAACATAAAAAACCTTGCATGCAATGTTTCTGCATGAGCAGGTACAGTTTCTGCATTTTCAACCCCCAATCAAATTAATTCTGAACCAGGCAGAGGTGGCAGCATTTGTCATTCCTATGGAATGCAACTTAGAGTAAATGAGAAGTAAGCAAGGAGGAAAAGTGGGGACAAACAGCCAACTGCAGCAATACCATCAAAGAAAGGACTAAAAATGTTTGTGTTTTTTTMATGCAAGTATTAAAAAGAAAGGAGACTATTATTACAGGAACAGCTGGGGTGCAGGTGAGATTGRACAATCTTTGCATGCATATGTATGAATTAACTATTTTTCAACCTACCTGAGTTTCAAAGAGCTATTTCAGGACAGAAATTCTAACACAACTTCAAGGATTCTGGCCCTTTGCCTTAGTGCCATAACATCTATTAAAAAAAACACCATTTTCCACAGTGTGTATTACAAGCACACAGGAATTGATCTCATTTTTTAAAGCACTTTTAAAAAGTAAGATATATGGTGAAAACTTGCAGTAGAGTAGTTTTAGTACATACACAGAACTGAGGAGCCCAATTAACCATGTGTATAACCCCACAGCAACTATTTTTAAAACATTACTCCTAGCAGAGAGAATGCAAAGGAGTTTGGATTGAATTGAATAAATATTAGCAATAATTCTTAGTCATACCACTTTGCACAACACCTCTCTTTTGCTGCTTTGATCACACTCTCTCCCTTAACCACCACAATGGTCACAGTAGTGGCCAAAGAATATATACTTTTATTTCATTTCTGGTTTTATCCATTTCAAATTGCACTACACTGAACTTTCCTACAAAAATTACCACACCACTCACTTAACAGCCACCAWTGGGTAAGAGTGCAAACATGCCACAGATCAGGTTAAATGAATTTTTCAGTCTACMGAAAGAATTTTCAATCTGATCTGATAAATTTGATAATGTTGGAGCTTCAAGTTTACTTAGCCTACAATGATTTGCTATGAGAATTTTTCATAGGAACATGATCTGAAACATCTAGTGCTGTTCACTGTGCAGTACATTACCTCCTTCTCCTTAYATTTTGTTTCTATGGAAGCACAATGAAAGTATTTAAAAAACCTTAAAGATATACACGAGGACCAAGAGGGATCATCCAATCCAAGCAGCCATTTGAGGGAGGAAATGACACACACCCAAATGAGCAACTTGAAATACTCTGTTTAACACCTAATTATCTGCCAGAACAAAATACACATGCTACTCTAACCCATGACCTGGTTTGCTATATGAAACACGAGGAGATTCATGAAGGAGAATTACAGTTAGTAAACACAGTACCATTTACTAATTTCATGGGTCTCTTTTGTTTCAACAGTGCTATCCAACTTCAATTCAGCAATTTGCTTTGGTACAACTAATAATCCACAGTCACAATTAACTATTAACTTCTGAGGCAAACCCTGCAGAAGGAGATGGTGCTCTAGGCACTACACTAATTTCCACTKAGAACAAAGTTCATCAGATCACTCAGCAAGGAATTAGCAACACTTGTCTACATTTTYTTTTGTTGTTGTAGTATATGCCATACTCATTGCAGAGGTTCCCCAAAGAGAACAATGCTACTTACAGCATCAAATGAACTCTCCTGGGTGAATACAGCGAATTTTAGTTATAATTCAGACATATTTACCAAATGGCTATGTAGAGTAACAGTCACAAAATAACTGTTACTGAAATACTGTTAAAAACCGTCTTGGCAGTGCCACCCTGTGCTGRTTTTGGGTAGAGGGAGGGCCAGAGAGGTGGCTTCTGTGGCAAGCTTCTAGAAGCTTCTCCCATGTCCAGCAGAGCAATCCCTGATGGCTCCGAAGATGGACAGGCTGCTGGCCAAGGCTGGGCCAGTTAGAGATGGTGCTTATGGCTCTGTGATGACAGATTTAAGAAATCAAAACAAGATGTGCACACAGTTGTTTTTAGCAGAGAAGAGGAGGAGGAGGTGAGAACATGTGAGGGAAACAACCTGGAGACACCAAGGGCAGTGGAGAAGGAGGGGCAGGAGAAGGAGGGGCAGGAGAAGGAGGGGCAGGAGAAGGAGGGGCAGGAGATTCTTCTGCCATGGGGATGACCATGGTAGAGCAGCTGTGCCCATGCAGCCCATGGGATCCACGGGGGATGGAGAGATCCACTCACAGCCCATGGGGGATGGAGAGATCACTCAAAGTCCATGGGATCCACAGGGGATGGAGAGATCCACTCACAGCCCATGGGGGGTGGAGAGATCACTCACAGCCCATGGGGAATCAGGGATCCACTCACAGCCCGTGTTGGATGCAGAGATCCACTCACAGCCCATGGGGGATGGAGAGATCACTCACAGCCCATGGGATCCATGGGGGATGCAGAGATCCACTCACAGCCCATGGGATCCATGGGGGATGGAGAGATCACTCACAGCCCATGGAGGATGCAGAGATCCACTCACAGCCCATGGGATCCATGGGGGATGGAGAGATCACTCACAGCCCATGGAGGATGCAGGGATCCACTCACAGCCCATGGGGGATGGAGAGATCACTCACAGCCCATGGAGGATGCAGGGATCCACTCACAGCCCATGGGGGATGGAGAGATCACTCACAGCCCATGGGATCCATGGGGGATGCAGGGATCCACTCCCAGCCCATGAGGGATGCAGGGATCCACTCCCAGCCCATGGGATCCATGGGGGATGCAGGGATCCACTCCCAGCTGGAGGAGCTCACCCAGAACTGTCTCCCGTGGCAGGGACCCCACTCACAGCACGGGAAGGACTCCTCTCCCTGAGCAGGGAAAGTTCTCAGTGATGAACTGAACAAACCCCACACACAAAATCCACAGCCTTACCAGTCAGTAGCAATTCTTCTTTGATTTGTATTCCATCAAGCAACTNTCTCAGTGATGAACTGAACAAACCCCACACACAAAATCCACAGCCTTACCAGTCAGTAGCAATTCTTCTTTGATTTGTATTCCATCAAGCAACTTGATCAAATGGACAGATGTAGAGATGAAACCCAAGCTCCTATTATTAAATGGGGAAAAAAACCAACATAATTCACTTCATATGAAATACACCCATATCAATTTAAAAGGTTTTACACCACAGTTAACAGGAAATCTATAGCTTCTTCAGGACCTCTGAAACAAAAATCAGCTTCTCCTGTGTTAATGCCAGCATATCAGTAGCCACATTACTACCATCAGCAGCAAATCAAAGAGGTTTATAGCATCACCCTACATTTTAACAATTTTGGGCACAGAACCTTCAGAGCTGAGCACCCTGTCCTCCCTTTTTGCTATTCTTCCTCATCGAACATTAAAAATTAGTAAGTTACTCCTGTAATTTAAACAGCTTTACTGGTGTAAAAACTTTGYTTTGTCTGGAGGTTAAGCATCCAGAACAAAAGTCATATATCTTACTTCTTAATAAAGGTATTAATAAAATATAAAGATATCTTTATATTTTATAAAATATAAAGATATAAAATCCTGGAGGATTTTCAATGCCAATAAAGAAATTAGTGACAGCCACCAAAAAACAACAGTGCCAGCTCAAAGGAAAACATCCACAACTCTCAGATGGAAGCAGAGAAGGCCAAGTAATCATTTAKCCTTTGTCCAGTGAGGATAGATAAGTTGATAGGTAGATTCTCAGATGATTTGCATTGCATTTTGMGATTATATTGCAAAAATTGTGGCATTAATAGAATTTTGCCCCAGCACAGAAACTAAGACTTGGTCCCATGCCATGTTATATTTAGCTCAATAAGTCAAATTTGACAAATCAAACTTGACAATTCCCAAGAAGCCAATTTTAACACTGTAGTCCACAATAATTCTTTGATCTAACAAATGTGTAACAGGTCTTTGGGGTTTTTTTGGTCGGTTGGTTTGGGGTTCTTGTGGGACATCCAGGCAGGGAGGGTGTTTGCTATTTTGTTGGGTTCTTTGAAAACATCAACCAGACTATTAGATTTTCACAAACTACAGCTGGTTGTGTCAGAAGCAACCCTTCAATGATGCAAGAAACAGGAAAATACTGAATAGAGAGGCTAAATAACTTAATGAACCAGACTGATGTAGTATCCACTAATATCAACCTGCCTGTATATAGGTTAATATGCACAGTTGTACATGCTGTGCTTTGCCAGGAAAGCCAGATGGATCTAAATGAACCTTAAAAGACATACTAATGCTGTAAATGACTAYGAAGATTATTTTCTTATTAATTATGTTATAAAAAAAAATTAAAAGAGGAAAAAAGGGTAGTTATACAGTCAGGCTTCCAACAGGCCTATATAATCTGTATAATCAATTTGTATTATGTTATGAACAGGACCCCAAACTGACCTACAAACAGGACAGCTATTTTTGCTTCTTCCATCTTTGAATTCAAGWGATTGCATCAAGCAGGAAATGCCAGTTAATGAATCAATCAACACAGCAGTGTAAAATAAGAATCTCTTTCACAAAACCACACACACATCAGAAGGTGATATTTTTTTTTGAATCATAACTGTACCTCAGGACGTGTTGATTCTTGGCACACTCCACACAGGCATTCCTCAGACATCTGAAGCACTCTGCCACGAGCAGCAGGCAGGGATCCAGATCTCCCAGACCACAGGAGTCCTTACAGCTCTGCTCAATGGCACTTGAGGTGCTTGTCAGGATTTCCAGGACATCCCGAAATACGCTTTCTTTTGCTGTTTCYCTGAAATACATAAATTTGTGGTGACACTTTTATGCTGGGCTACATTTTACTGAYAGCACAGTTCCTGCAGTATTGAGGWCTGTTAGGGCATGGAGGAGATTTACAAAGGAGAGAGAGATGTAAGAAATATAATAACCTACACTAATATCACTAAATTAACACAACATTAGGTTACAGATCTCCAGGAGGTCTGCATTTTATTCTTCAACCTCACAGCTGATCAAGACCAATACTTTTACACATTCTCCATCTACAGTGAAACATTAAAAAAAAACGCACTGCATCACTGAGAATTATGGGGAAGAAGCTACTTTTTACTGTGGTGTAATACTGAAGGGAAAATACCAAAGTGGCACAAAAAACAAAGGCCAAAAGCAGAGCTGGCCCTCAGTCATAAGGAAAAGTGGAGCTTACATAAYCAGAAAGAAAGTGTCTGTCCTTGCTGTAAATGTGGAAGAAGATGTGGGGTTTTTTCTTACATCATTGAGAAGAGACAGAACTCCAAATCTGCCTCTTGAATACTATGGAAGAAAATTCAGACTGCTCAAGCCAGAGCATTCCAGGCAGAAATCGAATCTCAAAGCCTAAGTGAGCAGGCAAAAGATATTCCAAATGAACAAGGACTGAATTAAATGTTTGATAAAGGAGAATTCTGCTCTGAGAAAATTCACATTCATCTCCTGTATTTAAGCATTCAAACAGCAATGCAATTTGAGCATGTACTACAAAGGAATTTTAATGAAAACTGTCCTTCTGAATAAAAAAATCCTCAAATTAGCCAGAAGTGCAGAAAATGTTTAGCTGATAGTAAAAAACCAGCCAAGATTGACTTCAGGTAACTGTTCCACAGCAATGCTTAAAATCAGTTTCAAAAAAATAATCAAACAACAAAGATTCACATACTGACAAAAGCAGCACCTACAAATACTTAAAATGTCTAATTGATTTGGAAARTATTTTCCTTCCATATTTTTCCTTTTCCCTATTTTTTAATTTATAAAACTACCAAAGAGCCTGCTAAGCAGACTTTAGATTAAAAGAATATCTTGCATTTTAGAAAGGCCTTGAAATCCATCCAGAACTGCTCTGGATGAATTCCACAAACTTTTTTTTTCCTATGTCTGGGTGTCTAACACAGCAGCTCCACAATTTATTCCTGCTACCTGTCCTTGATTGCCACATCCATTTCTGCAGGAACACAAAATGAAACAGAAGCACAGGGGTACAGCAGCTCAGCTCTTGGACAAGGAAGACATGCACAATTTCTTGTTAYGTCAAAACAAAGATCAGAATTCCTGTACCCATGCCAAAAGGAAGATTACTGTCACTCCTCGTAAGACTGTTTCATTGTTAAAACAGAAACTCTGCAAGACAACCATTCTAGCGTGGCAGAGTCTAAAACAGTGAMGTTAAAAACAGGAATAAAACCCAGAACTCCAAAAATTCATGAAATTAGCCAGCAGCTATGCAGACAATCCTGATTCACAATTCTGTACTTCCATATAAAGTTTTAGATACTTGCACAGCTCCATTCCTGTAAGCATTTTTTTTCCTAAAAAGCCTTTAAAGTACTTATCCTCCCAATATTCCCAGGAACAGAATACAGCTGTTTTCTTCTTTTTGTAGTTTAGTAAAGGAAGCATATAGAAATCATCCAAAAGCATTGCAAGCCTCAAGWAAATCACACAGCTGAATGCAATCTCCCAAATTCCACACAGCAGGGGCATTATTACCTTACTTTATTTCCCTCTGATTTACACAACATTAGAACTCACATTTTAATTTATTTTGTTTCCACAAACAGTGAACAGTCCTGCAACAAAAGGATTGTCACTAAACATCACAACTTCACACAGAAAACATCTATCGGGTTGTGTCTTTGTAGTTCAACAGCAACAACAACAGGATTTGCCACACCTGGTAAACTTTTTGCCAGATTTTCTCCTAGGCCCATTCTGCCACATCCACATGTACCCACAAAACTTGGTTTTTGGGGGGGATACCTACTCCTTCCAAACACAGTAGCAGAGGTTTCAGGGAGCAAGGCGGAGAAAGTATCAGCCTGCAAGCCCAAAATTTGTACAGGTGCTCCCTTCATTCCAGAGAAATTGAAATGAACACCAGAAGGTCTCCTGGGTCTCCTGCACCCAAGAGATCACAAAAAAATATTTCTAAGTGTATCTTTCCCCTTCCCCTTGACTATTAAATCTGGCTTTGAATAACAAAACCATACTGGGRATTTAAACAGTCAAAATGAAACACTAGCACAATTTTACACCGAGCTGGAGTCTGATTTCTTCATTCTCAGGTGTTAAAACCTTCAAACAACTACTGTTAGAAGAGAGCACAAGCTTCCCACCGAGCTGTGTCTCCTCCCTCCTTCCAGGAAGGACAAAACCCATTCCCCCAACCCCAATCTCGCAGCTGAACCTCTGCAAACGCAGCCTCTGCCAAAGACAACAGCACTGTGGGGTATTGCAGAGGTCTCACTGACCTTACAATGATTCTCCAACAGCCCAATTCTGCCTTTACTGATCTTAAACCTGCTGAGGGGCAGCCAGTGAATGAATGCCAGCRCAGCTCATGCTGCCACACAGTGCACAAGTGCCACCAAGGCCCACAGCCACCACCCTCATGCCAAAGCTTCAACCTCACACAGGAATGGGGCTGTCATCCATCAGAGACTCACATGGGCACATCTTCTGGACACCCTGGAAGGCTTCTGTGGCTTTTTGCCCCAGAGCAGAAATCCCACAGCCACATCCCAGCTGATGTGCCAGCCCAGAATGGCACCACAAGCCCCAGCAGTGTCCCATGAGAGTCGCAGGAGGTTCAATAAAACAAAGTTACACCTGGGTCAGGACAATGGGATCAATCCAGGCTGGGGATGAG